GGGTGTGGGGTGTGGGTGGGTGTGGGTGTGGGGTGTGGGTGTGGTGGGTGTGGGTATGGGTGTGAGTGTGGGTGGTGTATGTAATGAGAACGTAACCACACCCACACAGCCACCTACATACACACCCACACTCCACACCCCACACCCACACCCACACCCACACCCACCCACACCCCACACCCACACTCACCCACACCCGACACCCACATCCATCCACACCCCACACACTCCACACCCACACCCTCCCATCTTTTGTCTGCGTTACTTTTAGATGAAATATTTCCCTATTATTTTCTGTTTCAGCACAGAACTCTGTTCGACAGGTGTGGCTGTTGGATGTGGCTTTAGCTTTGTTATTGTGCACACGTGTTTAAAAGTGCCAATTGGGCATCCACACTCGATATCCTCACTCTGGTTTGCAAATCAACTTCTACGTCTTAGTATAGAAAGTATCTCCTTAGCTGTGTGGTCTCTTGAAATACCCTATACATGGATTGTTAGCCTACCCGTGAAAAATAAATTGTCTGAAATACCGTTCTAATACAAACTTTTACAAACAAGTAAATGCTGCGTTACAAAACATTATTTAAATATGATATGCATTCTTTATATATCCAGTGCATTAGAATGCATATTTTTTTCAACGACAATACGCATCTCTTCAAATTAGAACACAACTTGAAAATAACGTTTCATTGTCTTTAGTTTCTATGTATTTGTATGCGTTTATTTGTCATGTGTCAAAACGCTTGTTTTTTAGCTTCGTTTTACGGAAACATGATATCTTTTGGAACCCATTGAAACGTTTAGCAATGTATCAAAATACTTTTCTTTTTATTTTATGTTTTATTTATAAGACTGTTGTTAATATTGTCAGTGTGTATATAAACTACTTAGAACGAAAAATAACTACGCTCACAACTCATATTAATTTTACAATGTTATGCAATATTTCCAATAAATAATTCAGTCGTGATTTTATTCTATTTATCTGGATTAATTTTCTCTGATGAATACAAAAGAATTTTCGCTATTGTAGGATTCAATTACCAGGACTTTTGTATGTGATGAGATATGCAGCATATGCTTGATCATCATGATAAGTCACAAAGATATGATTGTTATCTGTTGTCGAATCATAACCAGCTGGTGGAGTCCTCATTTTGCTGTTGCCTGATGCAGCTTTACCGACAAGTACTTTTGCCAAAAACATACAACGTCGATGAGTCGTTGGACTCACAGAGGTGTAGCCGTGACTGTATGATGCATCGGTTGAAAAATATACACCAACTCCGTATACAACTCCTGCAAACTAATTAGTTTAGATATATAACAGCAGGAATTTGATTTACTTACCGTTCACACCGGCAAAAGATCGATTAAAACAAGTATGAATAATCATATCGGCTGATGATTCTGGGCACCCATGAAAGAGTAATCTTTCAGTGTCTTTCTGTTGTGAAAAATGTCGGAAAGCTCTATAGGCCATGTACCATCTTTGATTTTGAATGCGTTCTATTTGAATTTCGATGTATTTTCCCGACATCTTCTGATTGAATTGCTCTATTACTTTTGTATATTCTTCGTCTTTCGAATCTAATACACAACGTAGAACATTATCGGACTGAGCCGTCCAATTACGTGGTATCTGAAAATCTCTTCGAATAACTCGACGCTGCCGATTTCCGCATGTCTCAATTTTTTCTTTCAATTTTATTTTACAATCTTCATTGTTATCGTTTCTAAAATTTACCTATAGAATAGAATATGAATTTTTGATCAGTAATTGACTAGTAAATACAAACCACTTCGTTGTTATGCTCGAGTGCCGTTTCAAACAATGCATTTAATTTCAGTGAATATTTTTCAAAAGTATTATTTTCTATTTCGAATAACCAGACAGCAACTCGAGCATAAGATGCAATGCGTGCTTCTTCAGCTTTAACACTTTTCAATCGATAAAATTCTATTTGTGCTTCCTTGACTTCTTCTTTCGGTCCTAAAAGTTTTAATTTGTCATTTGATCGATTAACTTCAGGTAGAATTTGTCTTTCCAAACAATATTTATAGAAAGAATCAATCGTTTTCTGATTCCAAGTATAGAATGGAAATTCATCACATTCTACTGTGAGAACACATTTATTGACGTGGTTTTGGATAAGTTTCCAAGATTCTTTTATGTCTTGTTCTAATCCTGTTAATGTCATTTGAACGGCTATAGTCGAAGAGAAGGTATTTGATTGAATGATCTAATAGAATGGATATTAGAAAATGCTTACTTGAGTGTGGATATATGAAATTTGTCGGATTATTGACTGACTTTTTTTGTCGTAATTCAGCTAATTTGAAACAAAATGCTTTATAATTTTCAGTCTTCTCCGGAAGAAGTACGATCAATATTTGTAGATTATAATTTGCATATATCTGAGTTTCATCAAGTATTATTTCAGCTATCGTAGAAGGATCGTAATTCAATTCGCCACAACCAAGCGCAGGAAATGCTAGAGAAGTTCTCCCTGTATTTACTGCATAATGAATAGCAGTTTGAAAAAACTTTTGTATTGACCGACGTAAAGTTATATCATCGAGTTTTTTCGTTGTCCAAGGTAGAAAAAAGAGTTTCTGGCAAAATAATTTTCCACCTACTGTTTCATAACCCTCACTCATAATTTTGCCCGTTTGAGTAGCTGCATTCACTTCGTCTGCTACAGCCTTGCCAGCCTTTTTACAGATATCATTCATAAGATTCTGTGACGTTGAACAAACAACAACCATGTCGACTGTTTGTGTTGCAAGATCACCAATTCGAATATCAATCGACATAGCAGCCGGAATAACTTCTGCATCATCTTTACTTAAGCATGAAACTGGAACTGTATAACTTGTATTCGTTGAGCCAATTTTCGTTTGTACGAGACAATTGTGAGCTAAGGCTATCTCAATGAGCTGTTGTTCTTCAGCTGTAGCTATGGAACTAAAGCAAATATCTTCGATAGTAAATTGTGTTCGTTGACAATTCGCAGCAAGATTTTGTAGGAACTCTTTAATGCTGTCATGAAACTTGTTGGGACTAATAAAATATCCATCTTTAATGTACTCAAATATTCTTATATCTTCATGTTGTTCTTCTAATTGTTTCAATGTATTTTGATGAACGCAAAGCAAAAACTCGATCTAAAACAATATATTTTCAATGATAAAATTGACACATGTGTCATGATGGGAGCATTATATCTTTCACTAATGGTATAACCAGGATTCGGTGCATATGTTTTTCAAAATCAGTAAAAATACTTATAAATCCTTGGCAATCATATGCTACCACTGAAGTTCACAAATCATCCAATCGAGTATTCCACAATCTTTTTACGTGAGACTGCTCTCACCCATTTCATTGTACTAAATATAATTTTTTTTTGAGATACTTGTGTAAAAAAGATTAAATCTCTAATGAGTTAGAAGTCTAATAATTACCAATTTAATTCACACACTTATAATTGACTTTTAATCATATACAGAAACTTCAAATTTAATCAAATTTTTGTATAATTTGTGATAGAATAGATTACAATTTAAGAACTAGGTGCGACTTATGTGGCGTATTTTCCTTTTTAGTAAACGACTGGCGGTCGAGTACAGTTGCGCTTTGCCGTCTCTTGACTATCCCACTATTTTTAATAACTAGATCTGTTTTATTCGAAAGAGCGAACTCGAACGACTATCAACGAATAGAGTAATCTGCAAGAGTATACCAAAATCCTGAGAGAAGAAGATATTCTGCTCTTCTATTCCCCTCGATCCTTACGTCACATGTGTCCCTCCATCGTTGTCTCGTCTCATCCTGAGTCTAACTGATTTCTTTTACTAATTTATCAAGCATCTATGAGATATTTAGTTGTATAGTTACATCTATGTTTCTAATTTGATATAGAAAAAAATATTTATATTAACTTTATAGTACCAAAAGAGTATAATTCAATCGCTGCAACTTTGAGATTTGTTACCATCAATCAAACGCAGAAATAAATCAATGTGAATGGCTGTGCTGCGTACATTAGATTTCCTCAGGTTGATAACTTCAGCTGACACCAAAAACTTAACTGTCGATGAAGCTGAATTTTTTGTACTACTAATTACACGCAATATTCTACACTAAAATGAAATTGTTTGTATTGTATATATATATACTTGTGTCATTATGTCTTTTGTCTGTTCATTTACCATTCAGTTTTGGAATAACAGGTGAACATCCCATGGTGTAAATTTCTGCGAAAAAAACGCGTTCTGAAAACGCATTTTTCCATAGCTGCGAAACGCGTTAATGCTGACCGGTTTGACGCGTTTCACATCTGCTAAAACAAACGCTGTGTAACGATTGCTTTTGTGAAAAATTTCGCAGCGTTTCTCAAACTGTGGTGTCGTAAATTCTAGATAGAAAAAACATTGAAAATCGTCAATGACTTCATAGATCTTGAATTGCAGATACAATTTATGTATTCGTTTACATTTTTTCATTGGCATTTAGAACTATAACTTACATGAATTTTGATGCAGTCAAGACACGGATTCGAACACGAGAACATAGGAGTATAAGACATGTATACAAACCGTTCAACTAAAATAATCTGATGATATAAATGTTTATTCTACTGTCATTTAGAGTCTCGCATAAACTTACTAAATTAGATTTTCGGTTTCCATTCGACTGAATTGAAAATTATCATTTCTTTGGTGCCTATGTCCAATTACGAGTGTGGTCTTTTCTTGATACATTTTTTATTTAAATTCTTTCAGATTTAAATTTAGATACACAATAGAAACGAATTTAATCGATTTACACTGTATTTAATATATAAAAAATTAAATTTCTTATATATAAATTTTAAAAAATTTAAAATTTAATCTTTTATTTATTTTCTTGATTAATAGATTTTTGTAAATGTAAATCCGTCATAGTTTTATCCAATTACATCAATAAATGAAAGGAGTTTTCTTTTGTAAATCGAATCTCTTTTATTAAAAAGTCACTCTTACTTCAACAATGTACAAAGTAAAATCATGTTTACTAGTATTTTACACAGTATCGTTAGTTATTATCAATTAGTTCGAGTATGAACTCAAACTAATAATTATTCAAATTATAGATAACGCGATAATTCTTTTGTTCACAAATAACCAAAGAGAGTTACTATACTAATTATATTAGTATCAGTCTTTACTAAATCTTTTCGAAATGCTCAATATTTAAAACGACCTGTCCACGTAAAACCTGATTCCGTCACGCTTTATTTGTTTTATTTCATACAAATGACTCGATCTCTAGAATCCAATGCATTTGCAATCTTGGACAACAAATTGTGCTTGTCAAAATGAGACACTGCAAATTTGTCTGTAACTTCTCATTCATTACAAACGAGCGTGACGGAATCATCTCCCTCCGTGGACAAGTCGAAAACAATTCTTAAGTAAGCCTTACGAAACACGTTTTCTTTCAATAAAAACGTGGTGAAATGAGTTTTTAAGTAAGAAGAATATATTTTTTGTTACACTTTGATGTTTTACATTAGTCTAACTGCGAATTAGGTCTAGATAACAGCCTAGCAGCCTAAAAATTTCCAAGACTTTGATTTTAGTCTTGCCTGCATAAAATCCTGGGTCATGATTTTCACGTACAAAAATAGTGCAAGGAGCAAAACTTTCAAGTGTTATTTCATATCATTTCCAAAGTAATTTTAAAGAATTTACTTTGCTTAACTCCTATGCTTTGTGTTGGTGAATTTCTGCAAGATTCTGTATGCAGAATGGATATATTTTGCATCATTCCAAGCAAAACAATGCAACACACATTGGAAAAAGAAACGCGTTTTACGTTTTCCCCAATTTGTATCTGTGGAACGCGTCGCCTGTCGACCAAAGTGCGTTCGACAGCATTTTAATTCGGAAACGCCTCGAAACGCAACCTTGAAAAAAGCGTTTCGGATCGTTTCAAAAAACGACTGTGGCAAAACGCATTTTATGTAAGTAAGAATGCTTCGAAATGCGTCCTATATTGCAAAAACGTTGCGAAACGCATGCTACAATCTCGGAAACGCGTTACGCAGTCCGTTTCCTTCAATATTTTACTCCATGGGATATATATGCATGTCTATCATTATCATCTTAATTTCCAAATTTGTGTGTGAAAAATAAATGTTATCAGTGAAGATATCAAAAACCGACTTAAAAACATCTGCGTCAGACTTAAGATTTTACAGTGTTAGATATTATATTAAAGGTACTTGATGTCGTTGTTTTTCGACGTTATCAATACTTTGTAGAATCAAAAGATTTTTTTCCCATTCCGTTCATCGTTTTTAGTATACAAATGAAGTATGTCCACTGGCCTAAAAAATTTTCCTAGGCCGTCGTTACACTCTATCAATATGTGTATCGAACAAAATTATCATCCGATTTATTCACAAGCCAAAAGAAAAGCAAAAAAAGAATCAGAGTATGATTTAAAATTTGCTTGACTGCATATGAATTTTTTAGTGTTATGAAGTTATCAAGAAAAACATCTTCAAATTCAAATTCAATGCCGTATTTCTTCTTCTTGTTTCGTTCTCTGAAGTTCAATGGAATCTTCAAATAGTCTCTTCTCTTTCCTCACTATTCTCATTCTTATTAGGCTTTATATTTGTGATATCCCGCGCCTTGTTCTTGCTTCTTATCTTTTATGTTACGCATCATGGTTACCAGATGCAAAACTCAAAAATACCTAAAGAATCCGAAAAGATTTTCAAGGGTCATTTCTATTTAAAATTTAAATGAAACAAAAGAGAATACCCATCAAAACTTAGTTAAATTAACGAGCAAGACATTATCAATTATCCATTGCACCGATAATTGACACGCTGTTTTATACATGAGAAAGAATGAATTTAAACGGAATTTTAATTATCATTTTTTTTCTTGTCTTATAACAAAACATGAAAATCATTAGTCTTCTAAGTAGACCAATACCAGGAAACATTAACCCTTTACCCAATCAGTAATGATTCTTTTAGAATGTTATATCTATATATCTGTTTTGTTTATCCATGTGTAAGAGTTTAGATTGGAAGCACATAAAAGTGAGAAAAGTGGTACAAGCAGATATAATATAGATTATTATTATTTTTTTCATGAATTCTAAAGGTCTTGAAACTAGAGAGCTGTCGATCAATGTTTCATAGATTCAGATGCACAACACTCTACTTGTTACTCATCATATAATACTTCGACCACCTATTAAAATTAAAACTGCACTTTAAAATTGATAATTGTGGACAGTGCTCAACCCTTCTCAATAATAAATGTTCTGTTATATTACATCCTTATTTAACCTGAGCTCGTTTGAAGGATTTCGTTTCATTATTAAGACATACTTGGTAATGTTTCAAGTCATGTTTTCCTTGAACTACACAATACATTTGTTTTATTTTCTTATATTCATTCGTGACATCTTTCACCACATTGGCTAAACCAAAAACTAATACGTGGTCTGTTTGTCTGATTAATAGTATAGCATCTTGATAAAAAGGTTGCGCAGCGAATTCTTCGAGCTTCTGCAAGTACTTATTGGTTTCTGCATCATCAAAGTCTTTCGAAACCATTATAGTCGCTAACATACACTTTTTATCAATCATGTCAGTAATAACTGTTTCTGTAGTGCACAAAGACGTTAGAGAAGTCATCAATGCATTAAAATAATAAATGGTCAGTCCAGTACTTTCAGATGTTTCACAGTAGCATATAATGTTCTCCTGATCGGCATAGGTTTGAATAATATGAATAGCTTGTGGTTTACAAACCCAAAAGCCTAGCAAATATTTATGAAAAAATATCAAAAATACAAATATTTCAAACGGATAGTACCTATATCTTTGTTGAAGATTTTCTTTTGAAAGCACGATGTGAGCAACATTTCGAGTGCATCGTAAGCTCGTGTTACTTGCAACATTTGAGAACCGGAGATTATAATAGTATAGGCCACGTTCTCATCATTGGAATCATTACTACCTTCCATTATTTGAACATTTATAGAAAATTGTTCTACTAATGCATATTTAAGATTTTGGTCAAATTCATGTTTTCGAAACATCTTTGTGCATTCTTTATTCTTCAAAATTTTATAAAATTGAGTTGGCAATCGAGTTCCTTCTGCCATAGAACATTTTGAGTTTCTAAAATTAATATTTTATTATGAGTTAGTTGTCAAAACTTTTGCTATACATATTTCTCTTACTCAAAGCTAGCAGAAAGGGGTTTTTGAGCATTGTTCAAACTTCGTGTGAAATCGATCGAATTCCTTAGAGACACAGCTGGCATTGTGTTGCTCAGATCCTAGATATGACTCGTCATAGAGCAGCAGATGCCAATATGAATCAACTTACCATGGACTTTTTCGATGATTCCTTATGTTTAAAGAGATGATCCTGTAAGAAAAAATTGAATAAAGTACTGATTCTTACTTTGATCAGTTGATAAATACACCAAAATCTCTCTATAGTGGACAGCCACGGGACCTTGCCGAAGTGTCCACTTTTGAGAGATTTTCAATTTTTTCAATGTAGTCAAACATGCACTTATTAACGTGTTTTATGTAATAATTTATTAACTGCTTGTACAATTTATTTCATCAGAACTATTTTTCTAATTGTTTTTCAAAGAATTAATTTTCGTGTAGAGCTTACTTTAAAAAAAATATTTTTTGAATTCTCAATCTGGCCTGAAGAAACCACTTACACAACTTTCGCCAGGTGCTTTTTGGATTAAGATCGGTCATCTCCGAGTTAAGCTAGATAATTAGTCTACTGGATTCAGGCTATCTTTTCGATGCAAATGAACATTATTTTTCATGGCATACTGGGAACTTCACGTGGTTTTCGAGATATCTACTCTGTTCTCTCCTCGTCCGTAATGTCTTCAATACTTTCAATTTCATCGAACATTGAAGGTTTCAATATAGAGATCACTATAATCATTTTCGATAAGTCATATCTTATGTCAGATCGACAGTACATGTCAATTCATAAATAGTTAGAGAAAGTGATAAACAATTTTTGCCTATTTTCGTAATTCATTCTATTTTCTTTCGTATTTTTTAAACATTCTACTCTGTAGAGATCCTTTTACTCGTCATGCTGATAAAATCAATATGTACATACACACTCAGTTTTAACTGTATGAAAAAAACTCTAATGAACTTGCAAAAGTGTTCACTATGAAGAATTC